CTTACAATTTTACTTAGATGTTGTGCGTCTTTAAATTTGACCATAAATTTACGGTACATTTTTATGAGCGTCTGAGTCAGAATTTTGACACAATTCGTCAAAATCACGAAATTTCGACGATTTTTTTAAGTTTTGTAATTCATAAAAATTGTCTTTTTATATCTAAGATTTAAAAATTGAATTCCTTAAAAGTTTTTCAACCTTTAACCAAAAAAAAAAAAAAAAAATGTCTACTGGAAAGTCCAATTACTTATTTATGAGCATTTGAAGTACAAATTTTTACGAATTGTACTAGCTGTATTCACTCAATTTCTCATGGAACGATGTTCTTAATTATTGTTGTCCAAAAATCAATTACCGTAGTTACTTGAAATTTAGTATTTACACCAAATGTTTATTTTGTTTCTATACCTACTTGATAAAGTTTTCAAATTATTTTGACATGTTTTTAGCTGTTAACGGGTTTTTCTTTTTATTATTATTGGTAAATTCGCTTCAACAACAAATACGTTATTAGCGTATACCTCATAGAGGTATTCTTTTTTTTTTTTATCACAATTTCTATTACTTTAAATGTTAAATGTCTTGTCGTATTAGTATATATCGTTTTAAATGTAATTTTAATATTGTGTACACAACAAGTGACAAGTATTATCCTAATCATCGACACAATTGACTTCGTGTGCAGATTCGACAGTCACGACTCTTGTGGATCGATGACCGGATTTTCGCAGTAGGTATACTTACTTTTACGTAGGTAATCACAATAGTTATAATTATATTATTATTTTAGATTGTGAGCAGAGCTATAAAATAATGTGTGTTTGTTTTTTTCATTCCTATATTTCTGTCTGTTCTCTCAATTTGGAGCAGAAAAAATTTCACCGCACCGGTAAATATAAAATACCTACTTTCTCTTGGCCAAATTCTTCAATGTACCTCCTATTATCTTATTGAGATTTAGTACGTAGCAAAAAAATGGTTAGTCAATGCTCTTTATGCGTCCTAGTGGATTCCACGCTCACTGCACGTTCACTTTATCGTGTGGAAATAAATAAAATCGCACTCTTTAATGCGAAAAACAAGAAACAACATTTTACTGTGTAAACAGAACAATTATATTCAATAATCATAATTTGATGAACATTTTTTAATCAATTTATGTTGAGATTTACAATTTTTATAATAATTACCTCCGCCGAAAAAATGGGATACAATAGTTGTAAAAAAACAATAAATATAATTATTTGAAAAAAAAGAAAAAAAGGCATCGGAACAGACGAGTCGATGTGAGCGGGGTACGTGATGGCGAGTGTGTGTGCTCAGTGCTGCAGCCGATAATACAAAGACCCGCTAGATTATCGGTGGTCGGCCCTCCATCATTGTCTTCGATTCGTCAAACAACTTCCTCCGTCAGCTCGTTATTGATAATATACGCAATGATTTCGTCTAACTGTCCAAGACGTCCGCGATTATTTCTTCACTCTCGCGTTCTCCTGTGAAGTGTGAATCATCCGCCGTCGCCAATGTGTCGCCGTGTTTATTGATTTAATGTAATTCGGACGTGTATATGTACATTAAAGTCGATCGATGATCTAGAGTCGGCCGTCGGTCACGTGGGTTTCGCGGTGTGAGAACATGTTTTTGCTAACGGCAAAAGATGCCGGCGGTTCTCGGGACGGACTGTGTACGTATCGGTTGACGGTTACCGAGAGAGAGAGAGAGTTGGGTACGGTCACAGACTTCTAGGATCACTACTAATTGTTCCACAATAATATTCGGTGTATGATTATAATATGTGTAATATGTGTTAAAACCGAAATTGATACTACACTGACCCGATACATTACAGGTGGTTGTTGATTCCTCATCAGTGTCTGAGGTCACATCATTTTCGACAATGTAGTCAATTATTTCTTGGACTGCTTCTTCTACGATGATCTCATCTTCAATCTCCTGCAAGTTCATTTCGTCTTGTTGCGATCCGGCCATTTTTTGTAGTTAAATTTGTCAGGTCAACCAAAAAAAATCGGAAATTTATAATGAGCGATAATGGTAAAAAAAACATTGTTTATTCTGGTAATTTATTTGGTAACCACGGTTATCAATAATTTAATATTTCTATTTATGCAACACTACTTATAGCTCTAGTTTACACAATCATTAAAACCTTACGGTCCGGTAAATTACAGAGCTGGTAACAAATTTACAGACTGTTCTTTATGCAACCGGGCCTCAGAATTGCAAATGAGACGATTTCGAATTTCGTCCTAGGCCGTCGCCAATGATTTAAAACAAACCATAGATAAAACATAAATAGATTGGCAACTCCACCAAATTTCTGGTTTTGAAACACTAGCGCTTTCCGGCATTCTCGGGAACTAATCATACATATTTTCTGTTATTACTTCGTCTAAAATTTCTGAAACGATTTCACTATCGTTCTCCATTTTTGTCCCGTAAGTAAACAGAATTGCAAATGAGACGATTTCGAATATATAATTTCGTAAATAATTATATTAGATAATTTTGATGAATATTTTTTAAAAAAATTATGTTGAGAGATTTACAATTTTGATAATAATTATGCCGAAAAAATGAGATACAATTTGTATGTAGAGATGATATGTTTATTTTATTTAGAAAAAAATATGATAACAATAGTGACAAATCACAATGCATATAATTGTTATGATTGTTTTAAAAAAATTATTAAAAAAAGATTGGGCTAATGTGCGGGTACGTGATGGCGTGTTGCGAGTGGTTCTTCTCCTTCGGAAGCCCATATCACAATAACATGATGTGTTCTCGGTGGTGACAGACTCTCCTCCATCATTTTCTTCATTTGATCGCTCGTAATTTATAATTTCTGTAATAGTTTCATCCATAATGTCTGAAATTATTTGTCTACCTACGTTATCATCCTCCATTATAAAAATGGGATGAAACAGAAACGTAAAAAAACAGAATTGCAAATGAGACGATTTCGAATTTCGTCCTAGGCCGTCGCCAATGATTTAAAACAAACCATAGATAAAACATAAATAGATTGGCAACTCCACCAAATTTCTGGTTTTGAAACACTAGCGCTTTCTGGCATAATTCTGGCTATTCTGGAACTAATCATACATTTACTGCGCGCGGGCCGCTGGTGCAGCACTAGCTGTTGTTGTTGTATTCTACCTTATCAATTATAGTTTTTAATTTATAGTTTAAGATTACGTGAAGAAAATTCAAAATATTTCGGTTGTCCATTCAAATCATATAGCCACCGTCTGATTTTTTGGTGTCTAGCAGGTCAGTCATCTATGTTATCCGGGTAGGCAATGTGCGGCCGGGACAGCATCCATTACAGTCACCGACAACGCGAAATAAAGTAATGAAATACGTGAAAAAAAATTCAAAACATTTCGTAAGCAATCCGACTACCGAGTCACCTTCCTCGACGTAATTACGCGAAAATATGTTTTGGGGTCTAGCAGGATCTAGGGTCTAGCGTCGGATAGCGGACAACGTGTGACTTCTGTCGCAAAATTAAGTAATAGGTCACGTGCAAAAAAATTGGTATATGTTTTGGTGTCTAGCAGGTCAGTCACCTTCCTCGACGTTGGACGTAGCAACCCTGGTAGGCAATCTGACTTTGTCGGATACTGCGACGTCCGGGTCAAGGCATGAAAACGCCAAATGACGTAAATCAAATGTATATAAATAATAACATTTCGGGCGCCCGTGCTAGTCCTAATATAGTCGCCGTGATTTGTTGAGTGTCTAGCGAGTCGGGCGGCCACGTTTAATAGTTTTTGTCGTTTATAGTAGGTAGTAGAGCGATTTAGAAGCGAAACTCGATAAGCTGATTGGGATTTTGTTTCCCCATGATCCTCCGAAAAACACGAAAACGTGTATTTATATGACGAAAAAAAAATCGAACTTTTCGTCGCATATTTTCATTTCCGTTTATAGTAATAACGACACTGTCCGCTCTCCGATCTCCTCCGCGGCACTCGACTCGAGCGAAGTACTGACGAGGGCTCGACCGGCTATTCGACGGTGAAACTCGAATTTAGAAAAAAACCGTAACATTTTCGTCATGATAATATTATGATAAGGCTGAAGTGAAATCGAAAGGTAATAATAAAGAAAAAAGTGAAAATAATATTCCGGCGGCCGTGCTACCTACCTACCTACCTACTGAGTTGAGAACGCGATATTCGTGAAAAAAAATCGAACCTTCCGACGCATGTATGTATAGTGTATAATATTGTAATACCTACTCGACGGCGGTGCCTATAAATGTAGAGGTGAACGCGAATAAGTCGTCAACGGGAAGGGCAGAAGTGTCGAAAAGGGCTAAAACTGGAATTTTAGAAAAAAACGGCAAAAAACGACGCGACGCATGTATTTATGGCTGTATAATACCTACACGGTACCTACTCTTGTTTCCGCGACGCCGCTTCTCCCCGGGACTCGTTTTTGAAAAAGTAGGGAAGTGCGCCGGCTATAAATTTATCGGGGAACGCGAATAGGTCGTCGACGGGGAGGGTGATACGACCGAAAGGGGCTAGGAAAACTCGAATTTTCGAGAAAAAAAACGGCAAATATAGAAGTCATATAATAGTCGTACTATTTTTAATATATTTTATTAATATTGTATTAAACAGTATTTATAATCTGTAGCAGTATTTAACCAAATCGGAATCACGTAAAACTGTAATATATCAAGTAGGTACTACACGTAGGTTAGTTATATCGTATTTGTACTATTGTCTTTGTCTATTCAAGTATAAAAGAAACATATAGGTACGCCTAAGACCTAAGTAGTAAGCATAGTACATTAGTACCTATAGTCATATCATTATACGATTTAACTGTCAGAACTTCATTAAATTTCATTACAATTTAATATATCAAGCAGGTACCTATTTTATTTGTATGATCAATAAATATATTAATATAATAAAATAACGCAGTTTATCGAATCAAAAACTCGAATTTTGAAAAAAAACTTAACACTTTCGTTAAAAATAATAAATGTGACGAAAAAAAAAAACGCGAAAAAAAAAATTCACTTTATCACGGCCGCCGCAAATTATCGATAATCCCGGCGACAACAGAATACCATTTTTTCAATGTAGCTGGATGAGGCAATAACTTTCCGAATGTTTTTCTAACAAAAAGTAAGCTTAGCTGAATAAAATTGCAATGTTAAAGCCAAGGAACGTATTTCTTGTGAAAATTTAGCATTTCTTGATCGAAGACTTCTGTTCAAAATTTGTTTTATTGTATCAGAAGTTTGATTCTGTAAAGTAATTAATTAAAAATAAATATATTTTCATAACTAATTATATAGTAATATAAAATGATTAAGTACAAACATATACTGTTTTTAGTAACGAATAATTATTTTGATACTTTTCAACATAGAGTATTTTTTAAGGTATTTTAAACACACACACAAATTAATTTTCAACATAACCCAAAAATTGTTAATAACAACATGCATAAACTTGTTTGAACTTTCAGATATGTTATTTAGATTATTAAGATTATG